AAGCAGTGAGGACACAAAATACAATTGTTTGGGAGGGGCAGAGGGATATAGTGAATGGATTTTGGGAATGGAGGAGAGGAAAATGAGAAGGAGGAGTGGAAGAGGCATTTTGGGGAGGTGAAGAGAGCAATAGTAGGGAGATGATAGCAGTGAGGGGGAGATGTACAGGTTGTGGGGTGGAGCAGAGGGGTAAAGAAATGAGATTTGGGAACAGAGGATAGTAATATGAAGAGGAGAAGAGGGGTGCATTATATAAAGGTACACAGAGTGGGACTCGGCCTGTAAGAGGTTTCCCAGGGTGTTTGCTTGCAGTCTTCCAGCATGCAGTAGAGTTTCTTGCTGTTGTTGTGTCTTCCTGCTGCTTGAGTTCTCCTGCTTTAGTTCAACTGCTGCGTTTAACTGCTTCTTCTATGCACTCGTTCTAAGCCGCACTCAATCTGAAGCAGCACCCCCATCAGAGACTGTGCCCCCCATCAGAGATCTCCCCCATGAGCTGATCTAAATTTATATGGAGATGCTCGTATAAGACCACCTAGCAAAGACTTGTCATATCAGAGTGAACCTTTGAGCCCCCCCCCAGGATTTTTATGGCTAATACCCAACAAATCCATTTACCTTCTATAGTGCACCTGTGTCTAACTGTTAGAGCACAAAGTAAAAGTAGTTCTTGAGTCTTTTTATAACCACCACTCACTCACTTTTTTATAGGGTGTAAGAGCATTATTCCAGATATTGTCATTCACCTTTGTCTCCTGTAAACCTGTGACTTCTGTAGATGATAGGATGACAAGCCGCTGGAGCTTGATGAACCTCAGCAATGGCTGAACCTGGAATCTCTGAGGCTTTTTCACTTGTGGGTTCCTAGGGTTATTGCAAATCAGCTAATCTCTGTCGCCATTCTATATCAGGTAGACACAGGGGAAACATTGCCACATAGAGGGTGTCATCCCCATTTTGACAGTAATAAGTAGAAGCAAAATAAATAAACTTTAAAGCTGCGTTGAAGGCACATTTCATATGGTCTCTGCCTGCCAGTGTAGACTACTACATCTTGTATATGTTTTGCAGTAACTACCATATCACCCGACACTGTTCTGCATTTAAAGCCAAAACTTGTTTTCTTTTTCCATCTGGCTAGAGTAGGAAATGGTTGAAATCCGTGTCTATTTCTCTTTGGGGGGGCATTCCTTCACTTTCTGTCTCCAGACACAACTGGAAGGTCTATCGAAAGAAAGGAAAACCTGTCTTGGACAGTTATCAACTGAAAACGTTGGATTTTCTGTCTGTTTTGGTCCCAGTAACAATGGTCATCAGAACATATAGAAAGGATAAAATGGGGATAAAGGCAGCTATAAGTACCTGACAGAGGTTCTATCACATCCCTCTTTTGAGCAGATGAATGGAGTGAGAGAATTGCTTGAAAGCTTTCCAGAAAACCTAAACCCCAGTTGTAGTATCACACAGTGGCTAAATGGTTAACACTTCTGCCTGGCAGTACTAAGGTCGTTGGTTTGAATCCCATCCACAGCACCACCTGCCTGGAGTTTGCATGTTCTCCCTGTGCATGTGTGGGTTTCCTCTGGGTACTCTGGTTTCCTCCCACACTCCAAAGACATGCTGGTAGGTTAATTGGATCCTGTCTAAATTGGCCCTAGAATGTGTATGTATGAATGTGAGTTAGGGACCTTAGATTGTACACCTCTTGAGGGTTAGGGACTGATCTGAATGTACAATATATATGGAAAGCGCTGCATAAATTGACGGTGTTATATAAGTACCTGAAATAACTGATTAGGATAAATAATAAATATTGTAAAGTGTCAGATTTTAGCTCCTGTGCCAGCTCAGAATTCCTGTCCCCTGCAGTAGGCTAAAGATAAAGTCTTTCTGACAAGACCCCCATCCCCCTCTCCCCTCCACCTATCCAACACTACAGCACTTCATTCAGCAACAGGGAGCGTGAGCATTGCTGAATGGAGAGCCGTAGTTTTTACAAGGAAGGGGGTTGTCAGATTGCTGGAAATAGAACGCTGTGCTCACACGGAGTGCAGCAGTCTGTATAATCAACTAACTGAAGGGAACCAGAATAGTGCTGGTGCGGGGTCTCTGTTAAACAACTAAATTATGTATGGCACTTGAATACTGGATGCCCAGGCATCCGGGAGCCGCAGCATATAGGCAAAAGAAACGCTTGACATGTATAAATGTGCGCTAACACTAGGTGCGTCAAGAACATGAACGTTAATTCATTTCAATGGCCAGAATAAAATATTCTGACCAATAAAATTAATTAACACCCAACACGTTTAGGGCTCGTGTACACTACAGCTGCTAAACTGACGTTCAGGAGCTGTTCAGTGTTTTTTTTCAGCGGCCCCTGAACTCTCCCTAATGTTTTCCTATGTGTCCATGTACACATAGTTGTTTACAGGCAGTTGAGTTTACAGTCGTTTTGTTGAACGCACCAAACTTGCGTTCAGGAGTAGATTTTACTGGCATTTCAAATGCTTGTAAAAGCCTGTAAACGCAGTTAACCGTGTTTATAAGCATTTGCATTTAGAAGCGTCTTTTAACTGTTCAATGTCCAGATGCTCTCCAGAGCTTTTTTTCATCATCAGAAATGCATGCAAAGCATTTTCCATGTATGCAAATGGACCTAGCACACCAGTGCAGTCAGTTCCAGGAAAAAATGGTAGAACGTGCTGCATTATGCTCATGATGGGATCCATAGAGAATACAACCAGAAAAGACAGGTCATCTCAACACACACTGATCTCTCTCTGCTTCTGCTCTCTCTATTTCTCTCAAAATGTCTGAGTACTGTCTGTGATACTTTTTTTATTTGCACTAACATACAATTTGACTCAATTGTTTCTGTCACAAATGCACTAATACGGCTACAATCACCTCTCTCAAAATGTCTGAAATAGTTAATTATTTACTATTTTTCAGTGCATTCTGGGCATTTGGGAAGGTCTCCTGAGGTTATCTTTTAAAAACGCTTCTGAACGCAAACGCACATAAACACGGTATGCAAATGCGGCTAAACTGACGTTTTTTAACCTACGTTTTCCAGCAGTCAGTTTCCATCGTTCAGAAGAGTTTTCCAAACGCTCTGTGTACATGAACTCTTACATACATCAAGCATTTTTTCTGGTGAAACTCTGCTGCCAAAGAGGAAAGGCATTTAGAAGAGCAGAGCAGATTCCTTGTGTGCATGAGGACTAAAGCTACAGGCAGCTTATGGAGAATGTCAGCAGTTTGACTGATGGGAATAAGAATTGAACTGGTGCAGGAGCTCCGTTGAATATCCAGTTGAAGAATGTCACTTAAAAACTGATTTTTTTTTATAAACCTGTAGTTTATCTAATCATCAGGGCCATCCCCAAACTTGCAGTTTATCTGTTCATCAGGACAAATGACAGAAATAAAAGTCTGACAGAGGTTCTAACCCATCCCTCCTTTGACCGGATGAAGAGAGCAGATCTTGTCCTGAAAACTGAAGCTGGCTGTACACAAGCAGAATTTAGTCTGCAATTTTTCATTTTAAAAACATTCATTTGATTTTCAATTGTTAGTGGGGTCAAATCGATGTTCAGCTTCAACTGCAGTAACGAGAAAATTTGAAGAAGCAGGACGGAAATGTTTTTTCAAACAAATTTCTAACAGTGTATGTGATTTTCTTTTAGAAAGTCCATTTGTTTCAAAATCGAATGTTAAAGGCAAACAGAATTTTGAAGTACTTTGGAATGTCAAGCCGTAGAATGTACTGAGAATTTTTGTACGAATGTGCATTGGAATATCTACTAGTGTATGGCCAGCTTTAAAGCCCAATTGTAGTGTCACTTTAAACTAATTACATTAACTTGTAAACATTGTAAAAGTGTCAGGAGTATTTTAGTGCATTATTTCACTTATTTTAGCGTGTGTGTGTGTGTGTGTGTGTGTGTGTGTGTGTGTGTGTGTGTGTGTGTGTGGTATTAAATCCAAAAGCAAACATTTATTATATTGCAGCTTACCAATTCTTTGATTCCTTTTTTAGGCTTTCTTTCTTCTATTTTCACCTGGTGATCCAGCCAGCAAGTCTGTTGTTTTTGAATGCCCAACCTCACCAGTAGACTGTATCAGTTTACATGAATAAAGCAAACCATTTAACACTGGCAGGGGTGGTTAAGTTGCAATATATCATTGGGTTTAATACTGGTTATGGCTACAATTGGGCTTCACCTGGACCAAACACAGAAGTAACGTATCACGCACAGTAGTAGCTGTTTTGTTACAAGTGCACTTATAAAGCTGATTTTAACTTTTAGATTGTTAAAAATGTTTTCATGTTTGTAAAACCACAAGCTGCTTAAAAAAAAATGTATAACATGATAGTCAAATTGTAGTGTTCTACTACTCAACAATATGCATTTTGTTTCTGTCAGGAGCGGCAGAGGCTGGAGACTATTTTGAATTTGTGTGCCGAATACAGTAAGACAGAAGAAACCACTCCACCTGCTCAGCTACAAGAACCTCAGGCATTTACCTTACTAGGTTCCAGTATTGAAAGGACTTCACCTTTACATTGTCGGAGACCATCGTGGGATGGTAGTCTAGGGAACAGTCACGAAAATACTGGGAGCCTAATGAAATTAAGGGGAGGACACAATGAGGAAGAAGCTCACAAAGAGGAAAATAGCAGCACAGAGAGTACCCAGCATGAAGTGAGTGTATCTTTAAGCTTTAGTTTAATCATTTTTGACGACTTTTTAATGTTCTTGCATACTTTTATGCCCTTGGGCCACTATTCCCAATGACACTATTCCCACAACTGGCACCAATGATGGGGCACTGTTCCTCCCACTGACATCTGCTGGACACCTGTTTAATGAATAATTAGACTCACCTGTAGTTGAATTCTTGTTAATTGGGATTTTGTTGTCTAAAATTTAGCTTTGCTCCTAAGACTTTTATGGGGGTTTATTCATTTTTGCAACATGGTCTTGAATGAATTTGTTAGGAAAAATATTTTTTTGTGTGTGCAAATCAACAAATATTGTTTGCAATCAATGTCCTGCATATGTGGCAGTGTTTTGTAGTATAGTGTGCCATAGAAAATGTTGATTCTGAAAGGAAAGTAAAGGTTTTTTGACAAATCTGTTGGGGTGTACTCAATTATGCGGAGCACTGAATATGCGGTGCAAATTTTATCTGGTCCAAAAAAGGGTCCTGTGTGAATTTAGTGCAGGTGTGGGGCAAATTTCATCTCATGCTATGCCCAGTCCCCTCAGAAATCACATTCAGTTCGTACATGTCACAGCAGAAATCGCACTGTGATACCGCACTCTGAAACCACATCAGATTCGCATCACATCAGTGTGAACGGCACTGATCTGCATACTTGTTCTAGGTTACAGTTACTGAAAGCACTGAGGCTGTTATACAAGGAGACAGCCAGACATTTAGTGAAGTTAGATAATCAGTGGCAGGCTCCATACTTAGTAAATGGTTCCTTTTCCTAAAAATGAGTAACTCATGATCTGTAGATGTAAGTGTTCTGGCATGAAGCAAGTCTGACCTACATGTGTGATCTTATTGATACCAGATGTGAAACAAATAAATGAGGTTTTGCCTGGGATTTTTAAATCCGCATTAGAAAGTGATGTAGGCCTATATAATTCTACTTGGGCTGGGTCCTTACTTGGCTTCAAAAAAAGGATAATGATTTGTATATAGAGCTGGATAGCTGACATACAGCGATGGCATAGGAGTAGATGTAAAGAAATCGCCCGAAAAAAATTTTTCAAATTAGAATTATAATAATAATAGGATGTGCATGTAGCTATTTCATTAGTGACTGTTTTCAGTTCCTTGTTGTCCTGTGTCAGTTATAAGAACTGGATAACATTTTAGGAATGAAGACAGTAAGACTCCAAGTAACTTTTTTAGATGTATATAATTTGTTATAAAAGGCCTGCATTATGACCTCCATCCCATACCCATCCACCAAACACAGTTATAGTTGATACAGAGGTCTGGGTCCTCTATATGGAAGAGTAGACTAGAACCTAGACTGTCCAGCTTTAACTAATATCTCACCTTCTACCTAAACTGTTCGATCCAGTGCCTTGCATCTACCTCTATTTGAATTCAGTACTTTTGAGCCTGAGACCCAGATGAAGTGTACTGTTAAATGAATGACAAAAAAGTGTGAGAGTTCCTTACCTCTACATAATTTCGGGTCATAGACAGTAATGGCAGCCTCCAATGTTTTTTCATGACAGATTTCCTTTAATCCTTTACTGCTTATGATGTGTACCACATGTGCTGGTATTGAAAGGGTTAAAACAAGCTCACACTCTCCAGCCAGCAGAAGTGGCAGCCCCACATCCCTCCCTACGTCCGTTGGTTCTCAAGCTGTCCTGCTCCACCTGCAATGAACTCAGAAGCATTCTGCTGTGAGCTCTGAGTGCACCATTGTCAGAACACAATAGTGTCAGGGCAGGGCTGTGGAACGGACAGGTAGGCCTAGTTGCAGGGTAACGCACTGGCTGACGACAACCACCACCAACAGACCGAAGTCCCTCAGGGCGCGGAGTCTAAGTCCCAGGCTGCCCTTCACCAGGGCCCCTGATGGTGGGGATGGACTTGACACAGCCAGGAACCAGGTCGCGGCCCCCGAGACACCCCGGCTGCGGTAATGGCCGCCGCCAATGGCATGTAGCTGGTGAGAATGACAATAGCGTAGTCAGGCAAGCTGGGTCAACAACAACGGGACAAAACAGTACAGAACAGTAGACAGAGAATCACAGGTCACGGGCCGGGTTCAGATCGAAGGAAAACACAGAGAATGGTCTAGTCACAAGCCGAGTCAAATACCAGAAGAGTCACGAGCATATACACAGAGCTGTAGAAAGACACAAGTGCAAAGAGCATGTGCGGATCACAGGCTTATATGTACTCAGCCACACCCCTCTGGGGAATGGACCTCAGAGACCTGAAGGCATAAAAGCTTCCCACCATGCTCAGCATAAATCCAAGATGGATGCCAGCACATGGAGTAACATAACCTCTAGGAAAAGGTAGGACCTTGACAAATAGGCTGTACCCAGAAGGCAACAGATCGAGCACTTTCTATACTTAATCTGTTAGGGCAAAGTGTAGGGGAGATATTAGGGATCTATAAGATCCCTGATGTTTCCATAAAGAGGACCTGTCACCTGCACAATAATATCACATAGGGGACTTGTCAGCCTCCTTGTAATAGCAATCCTGTGAAGTAAAATACATTAAAATTCCTAAAAAAAATAAAATACATCCTAAAAAAATTCAAATTTAGGATGCATGCAGATATGAGTATGGCAGTTGCGCAACACATGTCAGGTATTACTGTGCTCACCAAAGGGAGAGAACTAATTCTACAGCCATCATTTACACTTAAAGCCATTCCAAAGGTTCATTTTTTTTTTTTTGTAAAATAACAAACATGTCTATACTTAACTACTGTATCCAGTGGTTTTTGCACAGATTAGCATGGATCCTCTTCTTCTTAGGTCTCCCGCAGGCTGTCCTGGCCCTTCCTGTCTGTTGGGTGCCCCCACAGCAAGCAGCTTTCTATGGGGGCACCCGCTGCTCCGTGTATCCATTCACACACAAAGCTGCAGCTTGGCCCTGTCCCCTCTCTCTCCTCTTTGGCTGGCTGGCTGTGATGGACAGCAGCGGGAGCCAATGGCTCCCGCTTGCTGTTTGAGCCAATGAGGAGGCAGAGACCAGGGACAGCCAAGGCGTTTATTCACATCGCTGGATTGCGATGAGGCTCAGGTAAGTATTGAGGGGGCTGGGGGAGCTGCTGCAAACAGAAGGTTCTTTACCTTCATGCAGAAAGTGCATGAAGGTAAACAACCTTCAGACTTTACAATCACTTTAACTCTAATTTGATGAGCTATAGAGGTTTTCAACGGTTACCTATTTAAAATGTTGCGTATGATAGCCACCATTTTGCTGGTGCACACTATTTTCAGGCCTAACATTGAACCCCGATTCCAATAAAGT